AATATAATATAATATAATATAGTGAGTATAATATTTTAAATTAAGATTTTATCTTAAATAAGTAAAAAAATTGATGAATTTGACAAATTAAATGAACAAACCTTTTCAAAGTTTCCTCGTAGAGTAGCAATACGAGCTGAGTAGAAGAGAATAATGGCACCCTTGAAACCAAAAAACAAAAAATGTTAAATAATTAAATGAAATAAATGTATTTTCAGCTTTTGGTGGTAAAATTCTTCTTACTTTGGGGTATTTTTGTTGGTACGGCTCCAGCAAAGTTTCAGCCTCCAGCAGGTTCCCCTCCCCGGTTCCTGGTGAAAGAAATGAACCAAAAAAGTGAAATAATTACTTTGAATTGTTTATTTGGGGCAGTGTTATTGTGAAGCTACAACAGGTTCAACCAAGTGTTGAAATAAGACAAAAAAAGAGAGTTTTCTTACCCAGTATTAATGAAACGTACGTGTTGTAAAAGAGCAAAGTCAGAACACAGAGAATCGAACGTAAATTGTGGCTCGACGCTCCTTCTCTCAGCTGAGATAAACCAAAACTCTGGCAACAAAAACAGGTAAAGAGAGGTTTAACTTAACCAAAACTCTGGCAACAAAACAGGTAAAAAGAGGGTTAAATTAACCAAAACTCTGGCAACAAAAACAGGTAAAAAGAGAGTTAACTTAACCAAAACTCTGGTAACAAAAACAGGTAAAGAGAGGTTTAACAAACAAACAAAAAGAAACAGTTTAAAATATTAGTTGTGCATCAGATTTAACAGGAAGTACTGACCCTGTTTCCTGAGAATCCAATAAACTCCAACAACCTTAAAATCCTCTGAGGAAGAAGAGACAACATCTGAAAGACAAGGAATAAACACTTTATAAACCTTTTTTCTGTATCTGTGTAGCTAAGAGCTGATATACATTTAACAATATGCTGATGACATACTGCTAAACCTAACAAATATTACTGACTCCTCCTCCAATAAAGCCAAACAGAAYCAAATGAAACACATCAGGAAAGTCTTACAGAACATTTGGGTCTTTGGTTTGATGAACTCGTGTTTTTAAACGTTTTTCTTTAGAATGTTTTCAGCACTTAAAAATAGGACGATGCAAACTGTGAGAGCAATTTAAAATATTTACAACGTCTTGGCTGAGTTAAGAATGGTCATCCTACACATCCTACATGGACCTGAGAGCAAGAGGGGCTTCAGTTCTTCAGATCCAGGAAGTTTAAAGATCACAAGGTTAGGCAGGATGTCAGGGGCCAGCTAKAGGAAAAATACTAATAAATTTATATTTTAAATGAAACTGTTTAAAGTGTTTGTTTCTTCTTGTAAGAATATAAGAACTCCTAATTAAAACGAGCAGAATCCCTGAAGTGATTAACTGTGACAGAACCCACCAGATTAAAAGAGCCGATTCCCAGCTTGACTCCGCCCTCAAACTGTTGGAATGAATTGGAGCACCCTGCCTGGTCCGGAGGGATATTCAGAACATTCTGACAGTCCCTATTGAACAAAACAAAGAGTCGATGTTAAAATTCTGATTGAACTTCAAAGAGCTTCTTCTGAAAGACATCTAAGATKAGTTGCTGGTTTTTAGTCACTCACTTGTAGATCTGGTAGCTTGTTCGAATCTTGATGCCACCTTTTATAAAACTGATCATGTTCTCATCCTGGAACATGAATAATCATAAAGCAGAGTTAAATGGACATCTTGATGCTTTTGGGTCTACAGAACTCAGTTTAATGGTCAAGGGATTTGAAATCAGGTCTCAGAAGAGTCGTTCATGAAGCAGTTGATCCATGATTTGGTATCTATWGTTCAATTCAGAGAGAAACCTGCAGGAACACTGACCTGTATAAACGTTAGTGTTGCTTTCTGCAGGAGACATTCGGCGTAGCAGAGCTCTGCATGCATCTCCTCTGCAAACACAACAATGACTTCCCTTCACTCGCTGCACACCTCTGCTACCAAGAAGGACTCTGAATGTGTGGGACGCCTACCTTCCTGCAGGTTGGACTGTTTGCTGATGAGACTGGACAACGATCCAACCATCGAGTTCCTCTTTCTGAACCTACAGAAACATGAACATTTAGACTCAGGGATACTGGACGTCAGTGTAACAGAGTTATTCTCTTAAACAGCAGGAGTCACCACTGAGAAAATAAAATAATACTGATGCACGGCAGGAAGGGCCTTTAGAGAAATGTCTGAGTCCACCTCTTCTTCGGTWGAAGCTGAAGAATCAAAAAGAAGACCCCACGCTGACTCACCTCTGGCAGGTCTGTAATGCCTCCTTGATGGCCGCCATGGCGGTCTGGATGTCCCTTTGCTCGAAGGTCATGGTCGCCTGCATCACCAGGATGCTGCTGTAACCCAAGGCATGGTACATACTGTCCTTCCACCTGCACACACACAGGTGGACCACCATTAGACCTCCCAGGTCCAGCAGTGGAACCAAAACAACGTGACAATACAAGAGTGGTACTTACATAACTTCAGCAACAAKATAAAAACTATATTTAGCAAATAMTCAGCAGTGGTTCCAGTAATATTACAGTACCAGGTCTAGGAAATATACCTGCAACAGTAATAGTACATAGTATGTGGTGTATTGAGTACCATGGTTTGAGTAGGTCCAGGGCTTGAGAGAACTTGTTGTTGAGGACCAGGTTCAGAGCACACTGAGTCTCCTGGATGGCCGTCTCCAGGTCCATACGACATGTCCTACACACATAAACACACACATACTATGTCTCTCTACCCTTGTGGGGACTTTCCATTGACTTCCATTCATTTTTTGGAAATTTTATATCTTAACCCTGACCATTTACCCTAAAATTAACCTCACAGGTACCTACCTGACCCTAAAACTAACCTAAACTCTATTCACACCTTAGTCCTAAACCTAAATCCCCACCCAAAATCAGCCTCCGAAGTGGAGATCGGGTTTTGGTCCCCACAAGGAGCACTCAGRCCCTCGAGGCTGCATTTTCCTGAAAAATTGTCTCCACCAAGTAGCAAAAAAAGGGCACATAAACATACACACAACTAACCCTAACCTAAACACCTTAGTCCTAATCCTAACCTCTAACCCCCCAATGGTGTTCCACCATAATAGGACTGGTCTTACTGGTTCTCAAAGAACTACTGGTCCTGATAAAGTAGGCGTTTATACTAGAAAAGGTAACAAAAAACATTTGCAAACAGAGAACTGAATGAGGAAGTAAGRGTGTCTACCTCTGGTTTCCAATTTATCTTTCATTTTCAATCACTTCCTGTGTTGACTGGTTGTTTTATATGTATACTTGTTTTTACTACAGAGTGAGGACCATTTGCACCATAGTCACTATCAAAGTGAGATCTTTGATGTAAAGTGAGGAGTGCTTCAATGTCCTCACTTTGTTTGCAGCTCTGCTGTGCTTTAGGTTCAGAGGTTTGGTGTAAATTAAGTTTTAGTTCAGGTTAGTGTTAACTAAAGACCAGTAACGGTTAACTTTAGGGAAAATGTATGGGTTCATCATCATCATCATCATCATCGTCATCATCATCATCATCATCATCATCATCATCATCATCATCATCATCACCATCATCATCATCATCGTTTATTTATAAAGCACAATAAAAACCAAAGTGCTGTACAGGAGCATAAAATAAAAACAATGAACAAAGTACAGTAATAAAATGAACAATAAAATCAAACAAAACAGCAAAGGCTGGTCTAGTAATCATGCTCTTCAGACTCAAATACCCATTTAAACAGATG